GGGCAGAGAGAGAGAGGGAAACGTAGAATCCAAAGCAGACTCCAGGCTCTGAGCTGTCAGCACAGAGCCCGACGCGGGGCTCAAACTCACGGACCGTGAGGTCATGACCTGAGCCGAAGTCGGACGCTCAACCGACAGCCACCCAGGAGCCCCTGGGCCTCAACTCTTAAAGCCAATACACAATCCTAGCTACAGTGGGTTATGACTCAAGGTGGGCATTTTTGAATATTTTCCCTGAGGCAGTCCCAGGAGTGAGACATCTGCGGCCATTCATCTGTGCACCCAACAAACGCTTAAGAAGTACAGGCCCAGACTGAGGTGCTAGCCCCGGGGGGAAGGTGATAGACAGGACGCTCTCAGGGGCTTCCATTCTTGCTTGGGGTGGTATAGGAGGCGGGTAATAAATAGCTTGCTGACCAGAAACCCAGGGTTTGGGGAAGGGTGGGGACAGTGAGCAGGTGCTCAGTCCAGGGGAGAGCAGGCAGGAGGGGTAGGGGCAGGGAGGCAGATGCTCGCCTGGGTCCCACAGAGGAGAAGACGTGGAGGAGGAGGAGGAGGACGGGGAGGGGGAGGGGGAGGAAGGGGAGGAGGCCGGTGGCGCTGGCCAGGGCAGCATGGGGGCAGCAACCTGATACCGAAGGGAGGCAGTGGGGGGTGACAACGCCAGCTGCTCGGTCCCTGGGGACCCCTACCTGTTCTTCGAGGGGAGGCCTGGAGTAGCAGGAAGTGAAAGTGTTCCTCACAGAGAGAGGAAGCTGAGCGGGTGGGGGAAGAGGCGGGGCTGGGGGGGGGGTATCTGAAACCAACCTTCCCCTCTTTTGGGGGCTCAGACCTTAGGTGACCAGGCTTTGGAGGAAGGGACTCTGGCCATCTGGGGGCCCACGGGGAAGAGCCACGGGGCTGTCGCAGGCCCCGGAGTCCCGTCAACACCCTCTGCTGTTTCTCGTAAGAGCCTGCAGGTGTTCTAGTCTCCCTGCCGCCCGCCCTCCGGCTGCTTCCCCGTGTGCCCGCAGAAAGGAACTGGGAGGCTGGAGAGCTGATCGTTAGTTGTTTCTGTTTTTAATTTGTCTCCAATAAGCAACATTATCTGCCCCTCCCCGCATGGGAAGTGGGTCCCAAGGGAAGGGGACCGGCACCCGCTTCGGGCGTCGGAGACACAGACCAGGGAGGCCTTCAGGCTCAGCTCCCCCCACTGAGTGGGAGTGATGTTTGAGGGGCCCGCCCAGGGTAGGTTGGACTGGCCCTGCTTGGCCACAGGCCCCGAGGAGCAGTGGAGGGCAGGGGGAGCCCTGGGAGCCCTGGGAGCCCTGGGGCCCGGGGCGGAATAGTTAGGAGTTTAGAGGCGGCCCTGGCCCGGGGAGCAGTTAGAGATGAGGGGAGGTTGACCCTCGGCCCTGCGGGTGGTTAGAGACCGCGGGCTGTTACAGCCGGGCTGCCCAGGCCTCGGCCCCTGGGAGGTGTTAGAGATCTGCCAGGGTCAGGGGGCTGGGAACCCAGTTTTGAGAGGAAGTGGTTAAGAGACTGGGACGAGGTTCTGAGCTCCCCAGATGAGAGCTGCAAGTTAGAGGGGGCCAGGGCTGGCTGGGGCTCTGCTGTCCCGGATTTGCTGGGCATCCTTCCCCGGGGGGCGTGGCTGTCACTGGGGTTTCTCTCCCTCCGGGGTTCTGGCCTCCTCCTTGGCAGGAGGTGGGGACTTCCTGGGCGAAGTTGAAGGGTTGGGGTTAGGGCTCCCCGACCCCGCCTGCTGGGCATCTATGCGGGCATGCTCCTTCCGGACGAGGTCCTCCAGCTCCTCCTGCGGGGGGCAAAGTTCACCGAGGTCAGAGGTCACCGTGCATCCTGGGGTCAGAGAACCTGTGGGGCAGGGGACTAGGGACTGGGCTCAGGGTGGGCCGAGGTGGCCCAACTCCTTACCTTCCATCCAAGGAGGTCAGCAAGGGCCAGGCAGCCCCGGTCACAGTCACCCAGCCAGGCCACGTCCCTGTGGGTGGGACAGTCAGAGCTCCCAGGCTTGTCCCAGGGCCCTGCCCGCTCTTCCCAGTCCGTGTATCTTCACACCCTCCCTCTCACCTTGGCCCTGACCCTCACAGGCCCAGGACTCACCGATAGGCCTTCTTGGAGTCGAAGTCCATGCCTCCTCCCAGGCCCATCATCATCCCCAGGAAAGGGTCAGTCTGTGGGGGCGGGCGGGGAGCTCAGAGCACAGACGCTGGAGCCAGGTGGCCTGGGTTTGTTCCCTGCTCTGTGACTTTGTTCAAGTGACTTGGCCTCTCTGAACCTCAGTTTCCTTATCTGTAGAGTAGGGGCAACTACCAAACCACTCCTAGCCCTGGACCGTCGGCGGGTTAATACTTAGAAAGTACTTAGGGGGCGTCTGGCTGGCTCAGTCGGTAGAGCACGCAACTGTCTTTTATTTTTTTATTTTTTGATGTTTATTTATTTTTGAAGGAGAGATAGAGCACAAGCAGGGGAGCGGCAGGGAGAGAGGGAGACACAGAATCTGAAACAGGCTCCAGGCTCTGAGCTGTCAGCATAGAGCCGGACGTGGGGCTCAAACCCAGGAACCGTGAGATCATGACCTGAGCTGAAGTCGGACGCTTAACCGACTGAGCCACCCAGGCGCCCCTAGAGCACACAACTCTTAATCTCAGGGTCATGAGTTCAAGCCCCATGTTGGGTGTGGAGCCGGCTTAAGATAAAAATTTTTTAAAAATTTTGTTTTTACATTTACTTTTGAGAGACAGAGAAAGACAGAGTGTGAGTAGGGGAGGGGCAGAGAGAGGGAGACACAGAATCCGAAGCAGACTCCAGGCTCCGAGCTGTCAGCACAGAGCCCGACTCAGGGCTCGAACTCACAAACCGTGAGATCATGGACCTGAGCCGAAGTCAGACGCATAACCGACTGGGCCACCCAGGCGCCCCAAGATAAAATTTTTAAAGATAAAAATGAATACAAAAAGGAAAGTGCTTAGGACAGCATCTGGCACATGGCATGTTTGGCCTGTTGGAGGAAGCAGCCCTCCCCAGGGATGAGGGAGGGAGGCCACCTCAGGAGAAGAGCCAAAAGAGGGAGGGGGCGCCTCCCGACCAACGCGCCCTGACTCTTCACTTGCAGGAGGCACAGAGCTCCTGTTCTGGCTCGGGTTGCTCTGAGTTGGGGTCTGTCACTTGGTTCAGAAGAGTCCCGAGCGACCCAGGGGCCTGTAGAATCTCCGAGTTGAGGTGGCCTGACCTCTGACCCTCCGGGTTCTGGAATCCCTGGCCTGAGCTGAGGGGTCCCAGGTCTCCAGGAAGGCAGCGAAAGGGAAAGTGGGGCCCGGGTGGGGAGGGGGAGGGGAGAGAGGGGGGGCTCCAATAAGAGCCAACTCACCTGCCCGGTCTTCTCCTTGTTGATGAGCAGGCGCGGGGTAGACAGGGGTGCCCTGGGGGGTGGCGAGCCGAGTGGTAAGGACCTGTCCCGCCTCCCCCCCCTCCCCAGAGGCCCCCCCACGGTCCCCACTCCCAACCTACTTGCCGATGAGGGATGCAAAGGGCTGCACCTGCAGCGAGGTGCCCATGATGAGGAGAAGGTCCACCTTCAGGAAGTCCTACGAAGGGGGGGGGGGGGGGGGGGGGGGGCCCGGGGGGCACCCCCCACGGAGACCGCGCCCCCCCCCCCCCCCCCCCCCCCCCCCCCCCGCAGCTAGTTGGGGAAGCCACCTGCCCCCGGGCACTGCCCGGCTGCCCCTGCTTCGGGGGAGCGGGGAGCGTGGGGCGGGCCGGGGGTGGGGCACTTACTGACTGCATGCAGGAGAAGAACCTCGCCGGGAGGTTCTCACCGAAGAACACGATGTCTGAGGCAGAATTGGATGGACACACGGACACAGACACAGAAAGAGAAGGTGAAACGGGAGGCAGAGACAGGCACATCGAGGGAGAGAGACAGAGAGAGAGAGAAAACAGGCAGGAGCAGGAGGCAGACCCGAGGGCCGCGGGGGCAGGGGCTATGGAACCCCTTCTCCATGGGGGCAGATTCAGGGCACTGGTCAGGGACAGAGGGTGGCCAGGGGTGGGGTGGACGGGGCTCGTGGCGGGGGCGGGGGCGGGGGCGGGGGGGGG